TCATTAAGCCATTGAAGACAGCCCTGTATAGTTCATTTGGTATTCTAGTCTAGAAATTCTATAAGAAATTTCCTTGAAGGGTTTGCCTTGTGAAAGAAATTTCCTAGTACTGAACTAACGTCTTGTAAGAAGCACTTTTGTTCGTAAGTACTTATCCTAATAGCGTTTTTATGAGAAGTACGTTGAAATTTAATTAAGAGAAATGATAATCACACTCTTTTTCTCTTCGTACACACTCCAAGTCAATTGTTGCCATTTGGTTTATTCAATCATATGACTACAAATAAGGAGGGGTGTGTAAGAGGAGAAAAAATGTGTGTGATTCTAGTTACAATACTGAACAAGAGTATGTAAGTGGCTTCTTGTTCAAGTGCTAATTAGGAACATTTATCTCTACATAATTTTTCCTTCTTCATGGTATAAGTAATTTAAATACAATAATCTATTATTGTTAAATCTTTATAGGCATCGACACACTTATTATTAAACTTGTAACATGTGACTTATTTAAGAGAAAACAGTTGCAAAGACAAATGTGTACAATGATGATTCATGGCGCCTCCTCACTTAATAAACAAAGACTCAGAAGCAAAGCAAAGCAGCTGCAATTAAATATGAGTGCAACGCAAAGGACTAGTGAAATGCAAGGACCTGCAAAATTAAAGTCCAGGAAGATTCAGTTGTCCCATTGAAGTCAGAGAAAACGATGAGTTCGTCGTAGATTTGGCCACCGGCTCAATCATATCCGATCACGTCACACAGGTCCAGGACACCCTCCTCTCACCTTTACCGAGCTTTTCCTAACTAGTAAGCTTCCTCTCAGTCACCCCAAATTCATAAACTCAATTTCAGTCAGGGGATTGAATTTATCTGAAGTTTCATACCTACCCTTTTCAATTGGATTGTAGGGAGAAGATATTACCAAGTGAGCTGTAAAATTTCAATGCTTCTATAGAGGAGGATCAGTCACGTGAACACAGACGGTCTTAGTTATTGGAGCGATTCTTTCTACGTTTTTTAACAACCAAGATCTCAGTCTACTAACTAGCCATGTTTGGGAGTATTATAAATTCTCTTAACCATATAGACTACGAACCCCACCAAGATGTTGATTTCCTAAGTAATAACTATTGGAGAACAATTTAGAAACAACAAAATAACAGAAATATAGAACCGAAATACTTATACTTTATTATTCAAAAATACTACAATACAGAATGCAAGTACACAATAATTACAAAAAATTAAAATAATACTAACTTGAATGAATTGAAGGTACAGGCTAGCGCAAAAGTTATGTCCTTCAAATAGTAGTTCCGTCCCACTCTTGTGTTTGTGGTTCTACAATGTCTGCTCGACCAAAGAGTTGTGTCTATTAATCAAAACGTTTTTAATTAATTTAATTAAAAACTTAATTCGAAATTAAAACTAATTGATCAGAGTAATTTTAATTCCTTGGCCCCAAGGCTCAAGGCCCTTGTCTTGATTAATTAATATTAATATTATAGTATAATCATCAAGCCTAATCCACACAATTAGTGGCCCAAACCTCAATCCTCATTCCAAATGGTCCAACACCTAATCAAAAATAAAAAGGACTTGACCTATATAAAGGCCTTTGACAAATTGTTGTTTCCCGATGTGGGACAATGGGAGCTCAAAAATCCATCAATACCCCACATTTTGAGCCAACTATTAGGTCCTAGGGTAGGGTGAAAATGAGAGTAAACAATAGATGTGACACATATCAGGAGAGATGTCTTTTGGACTTGAACCTACCTTAGTATATACTTATCGGATTTACTAGATGACGCACTGAATATAAAATCTTGAATTGTTCATCTCCGCAGTAAACCAAGACAATAAGCAAAACATATGTCACACCAACACATTGCAAATTCATACGTTTGTGTTCATTTTGGTCATGGACAAATCTTGGATTCATGAGAGCTTTAGAGAATGTAGCCATGTAATTCTCATAAATGCGACCCCACATTTACTCTCATATAGGTGATATTGATTAAGAATAGGCTTCTACTATTCCACTTGATTTACAAGTATCAATATCATTAAACTAATGTATCCTACACCATCAGCAGTCACCACACTTCTTCCATCACAGCAGTCACCACACTTAGCCAAGAATCAAATTAGCTAACCAAGATCTTTCATATCGAAACTTGATTTCAATATCTTCTTGGTCCAATTTATTATCTCTTTGTTAGTTCCCATTATAAGCATATCATCTACATATAAACACAACATAACGCAAGCATTATTTTGAGTTTTTGTGTAGACACACTTATCACACTCATTTATTTTAAAACCGTGTGTGATCATAATATAGTCAAAATTTTCATGCCATTGCTTTGGAGCTTGTTTAAGCCCATATAGTGATTTCACAAGTTTACAAACTTTGTGTTCTTGACCTTTAACCACAAACCCCTTGGGTTGTTCCATATATATTTCCTCATCTAAGTCTCCATTTAAGAACGCAGTCTTTACATCCATTTGATGTATTTCCATGTTATGGAGTGCAGCTATAGCAATCAATAGTCTTATTGACGTAATTCTCGTTACAGGCGAGTATGTATCTAAGAAATCCAAACCATGTTTTTGACAGTATCCTTTAGCTACCAAATGAGCCTTATATTTGTCAATTGTATCATCAGGTTTTAATTTCTTCTTAAAGATCCATTTGTACCCAATTGGCTTATTGCCAGGGGGCAAATCGACTAATTCCCATGTATGATTTTGCATAATGGAATCTATCTCACTGTTAACTACATCCTTCCAAAAGGGGAGCTTCAGGAGTGGACATGGCCTCCTTGAATGATTGAGGTTCTGTCTCAGTTAATAAGGTCACAAAATCAGGCCCAAAGTCTTTTCGAATTTTTGTCCTTTTACTCCTTCTAGGTTCAAGTTCTTCTTGAACTCTAGACGAGGATGAACCATCATCATGTTCTCTAGGTTCGTCATTAACCTCAGATACATCATCATGTTATCTCTTTTTTAACAAATTAGACTTGCCTATTTTGTATGGAAATATATCCTCAAAAAATATTGTATTTATAGATTCTATAATAGTATTGACATGTATATCACTTACTTTAGAATGAAAAAGTAAGAATCTATAAGTTGAACTATTACATGCAAAACCAATAAAAACACAATCTATAGTTTTAGGCCCTAATTTTGTTCTCTTTGGCAATGAGACTTGTACTTTTGCCAGGCAACCCCACACTTTAAGCAATTTAAACGTTAGGGTTCTTCCTTTCCATAATTCATACGGTGACTCCTTTCTCGTTTTAGATGGAATTCGCTTCAAAATTTTATTTGTAGTAAGTAAAGCTTCACCCCACAAATTGTGTGGAAGCCTAGAGCTATTCAACATAGAATTGATCATGTCTTTAAAAGTCTTATTTTTCCGTTTGGTAACACCGTTTTGTTGCGGTGTATAAGGGGCTGTTGTTTGATGAATTATGCCATGTGTGGCACAAAATTCAGCAAAGGCATGAGACTTATATTATCCTCCCCTATCGGACCTTAAGACTTTAATCTTCTTGTTAAGTTGATTCTCAACGTCTGCCTTATATGTCTTAAACATATCCAAGGTCTCATCTTTACTATGAAGTAAATAAACATAACAATACTTACTAAAATCATCTATAAATGTTACATAATAGTTCTTTCCATCACGAGTTGGATATGATCTAAAATCACACAAGTCACTATGAATTAAATCTAATAGATGCAGGACGTCAAGGAGGGTTAATTCCTTTCCAGAAGTGAATTTCAAAACACATTTTCCTATTCCAGCCACAATAGATGCAGATGCATTTCCCATAAACAGTTGCTCGTTCCCCTTGATTTTCTGGTACGTAGAGAACATATTTCTATCACCACATACATGGCGAGTCGCACCGGTATCTATCCACCAATCAGCATGGTCAGATACAATGTTGACTTTAGAAATCATTGCAGCCAAGGCATCGACATTGTTTTCAATCAGGTTCGCGCAGTTGTTGTTGCCTTGATTTCCAGGACCTTGATCCATTTGATGGCGACATTCTTGAGCCCTATGGCCTTGCTTTCCACAAACCCAGCAACTTCCCTTGATTTTTTTGAAGTCTTTGCTTTTCGCACCAGGGACAAAGTGTTTTTCCTTCTTCTTAGTTTTCTGGAATTTTGGCCTTTGCTTTGATGAACTTCCTTCAACAAGATTAGCCTTGGCTTCCATACTCAAAACCAGACTCTTCTCATTTTTTTTGCTATCTTCCTCAATTCTCAGCCTTACAATGAGATCCTCAAGGGTCATCTCCTTACGTTTGTGCTTGAGATAATTCTTGAACTCTTTCCAAGAAGATGACAGTTTTTCTATAAAGGACGCCACTTGGAAGGACTCATTGATCACCATCCCTTCAACATGAATGTCATGGATGATTTTCTGGAAATCTTCAGTTTGAGAGACAATGGACTTGGAATCCACCATTTTGTAGTCTAAAAATTTGCCTACGACAAATTTCTTTGAACCAACATCCTCAGTTTTATATTTTTTTCTCAAGTGATTCCCAAAGTTCCTTGGCTGTTTTGCATATCACATAGACATCATACAACGAATCATCTAATGCATTGAGAATATAGTTTCGGTAGAGGAAATCATTATGATTCCAGCCATCTATAGTTGTCAAAGTTTCTGCAGAAAAAATATTTTCTCCATCTATAGTAGGCACAGTCTCGTGCAAAACATTAGCCAAATTTAGTGTTGTCAAATAAAACAGCATCTTCTGCTACCATCTTTTGAAGTCTCCCCCCTTAAATTTCTCAGGCTTCTCAGAATGAGGTTTAGTTCCTGATTGTTCCATACTATTCGAAGATTATTGCAAGTATTTTTTAATAATAAAGTATAAGTATTTCGATTATGTATTTCTGTTATTTTGTTGTTTCTAAATTGTTCTCTAACAATAACAATCGTTTGTTCATGGTGACATGGATTGAAATGGGACTAGATATTTAATTTGTAATTAAAACTTGCAATAAATTACAACTGCAATGGGATGAAAACATCACTTATTAAGCTCTTAGAATTATTAATCACTCATGACAAATAAAAAGTCCCCAGCTAGTTTTTGGCGGTGCAATTAGGCGAGTGGTGCTTAGAAGGTATGGTTCTAACTTTAAGAACAGGACTTCTCTCAAAGAAATTGGTTGGCCTGAGCTCAAATCCACCACTCAATGTTGGCATCATTGGAAAATCCTCTTGGCAAGGATTGTGGTGAAACCCAATTGTGTACCACAACACTATATCCTTGTTCTCAATTTTCCTATTCCTGTATACATAAAACACAATTCACACCAGTCAACCAAAATGAATAAGAGAAATCACAAGTGTTTTGTAATCTTTTGCTGCATTAACCAAATTTAATCACAGTTTAATTAATACCTGCTGCTCCACACATCTAATGTGTCCTCTCCTCTACTTTGATCAACATGTCTTCCTCCTGCCCATTTTTCGGACTTGTTGTATGGTGTAACCCACACATTGTACTTAGTGAAAGCGCCGCGGATTTGCGGGTAATCATCCTCTAACAATAGGGGTCCTGCAACTGCCCCCGGGATCAAACGATAGCCAAATGGGTTCCCGGCTTTGGTCTTCTTAATAGGGTTTACCACAACCAGGTCAGCTGGCTTCAAACCAAGGCGAATTCTTGCATCTAACTCAGTTTTAGCCGTCTCGCTTACAATATTCCAATAACTCTTCCTTGGTGTGTTGTGGCCCGTTGCTTGTTTCGTCACAAAATTATTCTTGACAAAGGAGTTGGTTTCACCATCCACATCAAGGTCAAGATGGTATGTCAAGAAATGATCATGGTTCACAGCAATGCTATTATCTGCCACCAATGTGCCAAAAACTTCCTCCTCTATTTGGTCTATCTGGGTGTAATTAACTGCTTCAATTTCTAGCACACCTGTTAGCCCCACCTGTTTAAGAAATTGAAGATCAACAAACCTTAATTGTCAAGTGCAACATTAAGCGTAACATCTGTTGACACATGTTCATGTTGTCAAATTATGAATATAGGTAGAACATTTTGATCTTATAATAAACTAACATGACCAATCATCCAAATTCACGGACAAATATATACAGTTTAGTTGGCAGATAGTTATCCAGATTATCATTCTATAAGTTAACTTAAAATTTAAACAAGTACATTTGTACACTATAAAACCCTAGCTATCATATAATATACCTCCATTTTGATGGAGCCACTTGGCTTGAACTCCCAATCAATTATGTAGTCATAGTTGCCTATAGTTGAAACCGTCCTCACAACCAGAGTGACCTCAGCCCTAACTTCTGTGATCTGCAATTCCGTTAACCCTCGATTACCACCACATTTTCATCAAAAAACTAATCAATCAAACTCATTTGAAAAATAAGAAGAAAACTTTATCATTACCACTATATCTGGGATAGTCAATTCAGTGTGGCGCCACAAGATGTTGCCTGCATGTCTCTCAAAGATGCAATAAGCATTCGATATCTTCACCGGCGTGCCGTCCTGGGCAGCATAGTAGGCGTCCATTAACTGGGCATTGGCTGGGCAGTCGGTCAACGGCTTGAGTGATACTGTGGATAGACCAAACCCAAATTCTCCACAGTCGAAGAAGGTTTTGTAGTACCATTCTTCTGTGGGGTCCATGTACGGGACAAAGAGCTCGGATACAAAGCCTCTGTACAAAACCCTCCTGTACTCGTGCATTTCAAGATCATATATTGATGCTTGAGATATAATCACACCCGTTCGAACATCAAATCCGAGATGGAAGATCCAATTGGCCCACCTGATGATGATTACAAATATGAATATTAGTAAATTGTAAAACGGAATAAATTTCTGGGTATTAAATTGAATAATCAAATGGACGGTTATGATTAAACAAGATGTGTACGAGACTAAAAAAATGTAAGAAAATTACTTCCTATATAAATATTATATTATACAAATTAAAGTGTATAGAAAAGAAAGAAAAAGGACACAATGATCACATTGATTTAGAGTCAATGAAACAATCATAAAACAATATAAAGAATACAAGTAGTGGTTTATGTAACCAAAACACTTCTGTCAAGCGTTCAATATAAAATTAACATTGCCACTCAGTACTACTGTTTGAGGGTATCCCTCTTCACTTATAAGTAAGAGGTTTTAGGTTTGAATTTCGTAGATGACGAATTCGGTACTAAATTAAGTTTTCTATTGTGTGGCTTAGCTGAACTCCTCCTCCTCTTAGAGCAGTTCCACCCTTGCTAAGGGCCCCCCAGGGCTATTCATTATTTAATCCACCCAATGAACAATAACTATCTTTTGCATCTCTACCCCTACATTGAATAGCCCTGACAATAGGTAATAAAATATTAGTATTTTTTTTAAATAATACAAAATAATTTTATTTGTAATTTCGGATAGAATTTTTAATTGGTCTCGTTGTACCATTTTCTATTAAAAATTTTATTTTTATTTTTTTAATTTTTTCTTTTCACATGGTGCAGCACACCATTCCAAAACCTTTGTTTTTTTTCACATGATGCCGATGCACCACTCCAAAACCTTTTTTTTATTATTATTTTTTTCTTCTTTTCACATGGTGCCAACGCACCATTCCAAAAGTTGTGTGTTTTTTTTTCTTTCTTTTTCAAGCTCAGCAGCTCTCTCTCACTTGAGCTCCGAAGGCAGGGCCTCAGACTCTGACAACATCAATAGCCAATCCATGTAAAAATTCACAGTTTTTCCTTAGTTAAGTAGGTAAGGGATCGTCAACTCCTTAGTTAAAATCTCTCTCTCTCCCAAAAATAAATCCCAAAACGTGCGATCTAGGAGCGTGAGTGGAAAGAGGGGGCGTGTGGGCGAAGGCAGTGTGGGGTGCGGCTGAGGAGGGACTGGATCTCTCCCATTTGCCTATGGGTGTATCATCAGCCTCGGTGACGAACTCCGGTGAGAGCCGTTGAGTTCGAAGCATGCTGGGTTTTACATTTTTTAATTTTTATTATTTTTTAATTAATTTTTTACATTTTTATTTAATTTTTTACATTTTTTATTAATATTTTATATTTTTATTAATTTTATATTATGGCTGACGTCGCCCTGATGTTAGTCTTTTGTCACGTTGCCTTTGGGCTGGCAATTCATGCTGGGCCTCTCCCTCGGGCCCGCTCAGGCTCCATCCCTAGCACAAGCTGGACCATCTCCCTCGGGTTATCTGGCCCTATTCCAAAGCCAGTCCACTGAGCAATAGCCTACGGTGGAATTGCTCTTAGTGTAAAATATATCGTTGTATTAAAAAAATATAAAATTAACATTACATTAACTATTATGATTGGATTTATTTAATGATACTTTAACCTACAATACAGTCTATATATATATATATATATATATCACTCAAATTTGCAGACTTAGTCCAATTTAATTCTTTTTTTTTTAATTCAATCTATATTACAATTCTTAATTATAAGCCCTAAATATTAACGTATCCCAACTGACAAGTACTTTGGTAACAAAATCAAAATATGTGCAATAGAAAACAGAATAATCCAACCCAATCAGAATTTCTTCTCAGAAAATTGTTAGGGAAATCACATATTTTGTACCATAATTGTGTATCATCTGATAGTAAGTAATGTGCACATATCACGTTAATTAATGAATTTATCTCATTAAACAATAATTGTATGCATCACTTACTACATAAGAAACTATACCAAATATAATATAAATATGTGATCTCCCTGGTATTATTTATTTTATTTTTTAAAAAATTCACGAACATTAATATGTGACATATGTTTGGGCAGGGGGCCACGCCTGGATTTAAGAAAACCATACTCCAAGTCGTCAGCTGTAGAATTTTGTGAAATTTGTGTGACGATGCCATCAAATGTGGACTCAAAATATGAGTACACTTCTTGGAATTCAATTTTTTTTAGCTAAAATTCATCATTGTAAATTTCTTTAACAAAAATCCAATGACTAGGCTCCAACTAAGTAATATCCATAATTAAGTTTGACTTGGCAAAATTGATATTTTTGGATGTCTAATTTACCCCTAATAATGAGAAATTTTTCCAAATACTTGGAACATGAAGTGACGTGGAGTTCCCAATAAATAGAACCATAACACCTAGCTATTTCAGTTTTAAAGAAAAAAAATTGCCACGTTGTCGTTTAAGTGAAGTTTTGTTAAATAACCAGAATTTTTGGTCAACTAGATTCCAAATTTACACCTATCTAATTCCAAATTTATCCCTTCCACTCCAAACACCCACAACACCAACGACTACCCACCTCTATCACCGCCCTGTGACTCTGCCAACGACGCCCCATCCCTTCTCTTTTCCTCTTTTACTTTCTTCTCTTCCCTCTTTTCTCTTCCATTCTTATGTTGACATGTAACCCGAGAGTACGTAGTCGGCCGCACCCTTAAATCCGCTGTCGCCAACCTCCTATTTAAGGCCCTGTGAGCTGAATCCCGATCAGTTAATCATGTTTAAGGGCTTTAGGGCAATCATTGTTTTTCTTATTTTGAGTTTGATTTCGATTAGTGACTTTTTTATTTATTATTTTTATCAAAACAAGTAATTTTGAAAGAGTTATCTTTGTTTTAATTGTTATTTTATAGGTGTCAGTAATTAATTAGTTGGGAACACCACCTGTTTTGCTTATGTGTGTGTAGCCGGTCCTTCGAAAAATTTCTCTCTAATAACATTGATTTTGGAGAGATTTTTCAGTGTGACCGGAACACGGGATGATACATCACGTGTCACTATGCAAATAGTGGGATATGTGAGATAAAAAGTTAAGAACTTCAAAAGTAAAATTTCCCACTACTTATATAAAAACACGTGGTGTACCATCCGTGTTCCGGTTACAATGAAAAATTTCCTTGACTTTTGGGTCTCTCATTTATTATCTACATTTATTTTACATTATTTCATTCAATTAAATGTCTTTAAATACCTTATGCGCATTTGGAAAGAAATTTAAATGTCATGATTCCTATGCATTAATAACAAAAATTACATGATATCAATGTTTTGTTCCTTATAGAGTTGTTTTTCACATGATGGTAACAGGTAAATTAGTATATCCTACAAATATAAAATAGTTATTTTATTCAAATTATCAATATTTTAAATATAATATAGGTAATTATTTTGCGCAATATATACATATATATATATATAATAACAATATAAGTTCCGCAAGTGACCATTTACCACAATAGTGGAAAGGTGTTGAGCCCTTACATGATGGCGTGGATTCAAACCCTGTCGGTGACTTATCTAACATCTAATCTAACAAAATTTATCGTTTGACCAAAAAAGAAAAAATCCTAGTGTATTATGTAATAATACATGCAAAATAATTTACCTACAACATTATTTAATTAATTTGAATAATAAATACCTATATTTTGCCATAAAAAATATAAAACAAGTTACCTACAAAATAAAAGAATGTTGATTGATTGCACACACCATATAATTAATAATAACAAAATGTGGCTAGTATATATGTAATATCACAAGAAAAATAATTTACCTACAAAATAAATAAATGTTTTAAGCCAATTGATTAAAAAATTCATTAATTACCTATATTTTACATAAAAACATATATAAATTATTTGCATGCATATATATAATTATAACAAAATGTGCCTAATACATACATGCAAAATAATTTACCTACAATGATTGTCAAACAAATAAAAGAAATGGAACATATGATGGTAAGACAAGTATAAAGTAGATACTTCTGTAATAATAAGACACTTATTTTCCATAATTATGATGGATAATTAAATTCATTAACATAGTTAGGGTGTTGTGGCACAATTGTAAATATTTTGAAAATAATAGGTATTTACTTGTTTACATGGCAGTCTATTTCAAATTTGGGTTTTATTTGGATGTTTAAAATGAGATGGGCTTTTGTCAAGGAAATAATTGTTGCATAGGTTTATATCTAAAGAACCTAAAATTAATGGTGTTTATCAATTCATTTGTTGAATAATACTTACTAGTGAGTACTTTATATATTCACTTTTTAGATTTGGCCCAATGATATTTTAATGCGCTTTATCTTAATTTTTTTTTATATGTTATAACGTTTCTTGGACTTCTAAAAACAAGAAACATATGTGATCTTTTGATTGAGTCAAATCACAAAATCAAGTATATATGATACTCACTAGCAAGTATATACATATTATCTTAACATGTGTATTTGTTTATTAATAATATATCTAGATCTATGAACTTCATTTATATAACACCTAAATTAGAAACATAATATGTCAGTATAATCGTCACACCCAAAACCTTCCTACAATTTCCACAAACAACAATGTTGACTACTAAGCATAGGTATTATAACCATATATTAAATACTCAAATCCACCAAGAATTCATTCAAGTACAATACTAATTATAGTTAATTAGTACAATGATTTAGTAGAACATCATTGGATAAAAAATAAATAAAATAAAATAAAAATAAAAATAAAACTAAATACAGCCAAAACTAAGGAATAAGAGTACGTAAGTGAGACACAGTTGTCTTTAAGATATGCTGGAAGTTAATTATAAAATAATTAATTAACTTAAGACTAACCTAACAGTGTTGCCGTCGAGCTTGAACCCTTCGTCCCCCGACGTAACTGGAGCACCATTTAGCCTTGGACCAAATGGAGGCTTCTGATTGGACGCTCGGTACTCAGTCCCCTCAGCTTTTGGCACAGGTGCAACAAACCTATCGATGTATTCAACGATCTTCAGCTCATCCAGATCAACCGCGACTGTTATTCCCTCCACTGGCCTCACGTACAAGTTTACACTATCTTTTTTGTAAAAACAATTAATCTTGATTGTTCTTTTAGTTTTGGCCTCCCCAAACCAACCAACTGAAAAAGTACTACACACAACTTCGGACATGTTAAGCCCTCTCTTTTTAATGGACTGGATAAAGGGTTTATATTTGAACGGGAGTTCAGCCGCAACAGATTGTTCTTCATTGTTAAGCAAAGGGTATCCATGTTTGTTATCAAATTCAGTTTTGGAAACTATGGAACGGGTTGATATGTCGACTATGAGCTCTAGGGTTTTCATTTTGAGTCGTAAAACGACCAAGGCACGGCGAGGAAGAGGAGGCGGGGTTTTGGTGGGTTTTGATTGCCATGAGAGGACGGTGGACTTTTCGGGTTCATCTAGGCCTACGTATTGGAAGCTCAGGTTTTGAGAAGGGTAGGATTTTTGGACTACGGTTTTGACATGGATGAACTCGGATGGTGTTAGAGGGTCTAGAGGATGGCATGAGGTTGGTGATGACAAGGTGATGAAAATGGAGAGGAGTAATAAGAGACTTGGTGCCAATCTTGATGCCATGGCATGCATATTACAATGTAAGTTTTAAGCTTCTTTGGTCCCCTTAAATAAGAATTTGATCAGCAAGCTGGTATAGCACAAGTGCTAGATGGAGAGTTTCGACCACTTTAAGATTTTGGAAACTCAGAAGCATAAACTTTAATCATGATTTAGCCCTAGGGTCAGTTTGGGATTACTGTGTTTTTTTTTTTTTTAACTACTCCTGCTATATCTTAAGAATAACCAGCTGCAAAATAAAGCAGTTGAGCGTTTGATAAATTATGGTAAATTTTAATGCAAAAGTGATATAATTGTATATAATAACAAAAATAGACATAATAGAGTGGGCGATGACGACAATAACAGTAGTAAGGGCAATGGTTGTGATGGTGTTGGTGATTGTGGCGGTGGCGGTGCCAGTAAAGGGGTGTGGTGGCAGTTGTGTTTATAGCGGTGGTGTTGCCCACAGTGACAACGATGGTAGTGGCAGTTGTGGTTATAGTGGTAGTGGTGGCGGATATGGTTATGGCAGTGGTTGGTGGTGGCAGTGTGCAACTGTGGTGTGGTAGTGGTGGCAACAATGATGGTGTAATATTGGTAGGTGGCGGTGGTCACTTTGTTCTCCAAGAATAAAATGTGTCTTAAATGATAAATAATGTTATTTTTTAAAATTTATAATCGTATTACATGAATTAAAAATATTCATTAAATGCTCAACTATGCTTTTGATTAAAGCAACTTTAAAAAACAACCTACAAGCTGCTTTGAAAAGTTGATGTTGAAGCTCATTGCTTTTAAAATAAACAGAATATTTTATTTTTAAATACTTTTTACTGATTAACTTTAAAGTAGTTTAGTTTTTGATAAATAAAATACCAAACTAGGCCTTAATGTAATTAGCACGTAAGCCTTAAGGTGTGACTTGTGAGGCTGCTTGTGGGTTTTGGAAACTTTTTTTTTAGTAGAGTTTTGGAAACTTTTGAGTGTGGTATTATATAGATCATATTGTGAATAAAACTATTTGATAATTATGCTCTATTTTTGTCATGTCTCTCAAAAAAGTATTATGAATATATATGATTTTGTGAAAAATAATTAACTTGGAGTTCACACCTCATCAACCACATCATATGATTTAAAGTATGTTTCAATAAATTTTTAACGTTCCAATTCTAACTTGAGAAAATAAGGTTTTGATCATTTATTTTAGGGTTGTGGCGTTAATTAGGTAGATTTTGTTTTCCTGTAGACACTAATGGACAGTACTAACATGATATATATTGGGGCAATGTAACACCAGATATCGAATAGAGGATATATCTATTTTTAGGATGTTTTTAAAGGAAAGGATCTTTAAAAGGATTCTGGTCCTTTTTTATTTTATTTTTATTTTTATTTTTTATTTTTATAAAAATAGAGATTAGTTCTTGGACTTACACCACATCAAACTTTAACGATCCAAACAATCTATTTTTCAAGTTGCACCTCATATATCATCTTTGCAAAATTGTAGCCAAATCGGGAAATATTTAAAGCATCTAATTGAGTTCAAAGAAATTAACGAACACTTTGTTCTCTAAAAAACAATAAAATTTCAATATGATAATTAAATAGACAAATAGTTTTGGATTAAATGTAATTTTTATAAGGATGACTTATGAATCAAGACTTATAAAATAAACAATTCGAATTGTTAAAATTCAACATGGAGTAAACCTTTCAACTAGTTTCAATTTTTACCCAAAAATACGAAACATAGATCGTAAATATATGGTCATAGTTCACTTCAAATGCATGTGAACATATCCACATACTGCTGGATTCTACTCACAATCTATTTCTTATCCTCTTTCATGATACAATAGGGGCAAGACAATCTTATCCCTCATTAGGTGTGAGTGTGTGATTAACTTCATGAAGTGTTGGCCGGTTTTAGGGAATTTGTCCATATAAGAAAATTTTGCTTTCCGTAATTCCTCCAAAAACACATCTAAGTGGAGACAAATTAACCGAAATGTAAAGCTGCAAGAGGAGTTAAATGCCACAGAATCAAAAGCTCATTGTCCACATTGATTGGGATGGAACCAATCGATATGTCAGTATCGACCTGGTACAGTAGGACCTTGAAGGGATGGAGCCTGTCGATATGTCACAGTATAGGACAAGCCCTACTCAAATCTACTCCCCATGCATAGCTCTTATATTTAACCTTTAGCATATGATCAGCAATAGCAGAATCAGGAATTATTTAATGGATGGATTAAACTAAAATTATTATTAGAAAATTAAATGGTTAAATTTTGTTGTTATTTATATAAAATTAGACAATAACAAACCTAAAAGTAGTAATTTAAAGTAAGAAATGTAAGTATGAATAAAGTAAGTTTCAACTAGATTTAACAAAGAAAACATTTGAAGTTGCAACTTATAGTAGGAAGAAACATACATAATCAATCTTGTCATAACAACTTAACAAATAAACGAAAAAAATACCTATTCAAGTTAATGGAATTGAAATCCTTTTTTATTTCTTCTGAATCAATTTTTTCGGCAGACTCTTTTTCAATGTACACAACAATTGAATCTGTTAGAAATTCATTCTCCATTTTGTTGTGAAGTCTTGTTTTAAAGCACCATTGTACGAACTTTTAAAATTAAAGCAATAAGCAAATAAAATCATCAAGACATAAGAATAAAGTGGCCAAAAACTTACGAGAAAAATCAATAAACTTTCTCACTTGTATGCTAGGTTTGGGTAAACTGCAGATGAGATAGGCTTTCTAAAAGGTAAAAAAGGGTCATTGTTGTACTCCCAAAGTCTAAAAAATAAAAAAAACTACTCCTAAGAAATCTAAAGTAATAAAATATTAAATCTACTTTTTAAAACCAAATGACTACTCCTAGGAAACCTAAACTAATCCATATAGACTACTCCCTATAAACTCATCAAATAAAAAGACTTATTGGGATGTGTGTTTCAGTGTGTGTACGATTTGAAATATAATAATAATAAATTTTGATATTGATTAAAGTAAATAATTTATTTAATATTTATTAACTCTTACATTTTCTAAAAGTAGTCATATTTTTCAAAACTTTTACTTATTAGGTGAGTTATAACAATTAAAAATAATATAATAGTCTAAATTATTAGTATTTTTAACTTTAAATAACTAAAACTCTCCCTATGCTAGAGCTCACCTAAGCCGTTATTGCCTCCGCTGTTGATGGTGAGAGTATGAATTTCATATGTTGGCATTAAATTCGCACTTCATTGTGGACGGTCGAAACATAAATTTGAGTAACTTGTAAAACAACAAAAAATCGTGAGCCAGTCTAAGATTGAGGAGTGTGCTCACCAAAGACTCTCCGACGGTTAAATTAGTAAGCAAATATAAGATTTAAGTAGTGGGCAAGGGAATTAGAGTGCGATGAATGCATTACCATAGGTGGACTCTAGAAGGATGTATTTAGACTGACCGGGAGAGAGACTTTTTAAGGATAAAACCCTATTCTAAGCCGGAAGAATCCTAGAGGATATCTAAAAGTAAATATTCCATCTTCTATATGAGTGTGATTACTTGCTGCGCCCACAAATTCCTAGATTGTAGGAACTCCAAGATATAGAGGATCTGACTAATTCCAACCTAAATTAGATCCCCTTATCTTGTAGAACAAGCATGGTCATTCTAGCGATGTCGCTCGGACTTTGCCTGTTGCTCTGGAACAGGATGATGGTGGCACCATTGCTCCATTAATCTAGCTCTGCTCGGAGTTGTTGAGTCCATGACTGGACTTCAGAGGTAGCTGTATTTCGATTCACTTACTTCGGCCCTAAAAAATCATGGTCCCATGCACATAAAAAAATCTTGCATATAATTATACAAAGTTGAACTATTCTCGGTGTCAATTATTTTATAATGGTATTAAAGTTTAAAGACTTGTAGGCGAAAGTATCAACGTTTAAAATTTTATAAAATACAATTTAAGTGCATTTTCCATCCTTACAAGATTAACATGGTGTCATCGCTGAACATGGGTAATCAAGTGGAAGTGTTCTTACAATTAAAAATATAAAATATGACACATCCCAGCCGAAGTCGATGCATGCTGGCCGACGCCCCGAAGGTGACGTAACAAAAAAGGAAAGTGAAGCATTAAAATATGGATAAATTTAAACCAAAGCTAACATTTATTTAATCTAAAGTAGAGAGTGTGCAGTAGTGGGAAGAACCTATAAAACACAAGTGTTCTGAGCATAAATTACAGTACGACATAAGTAGAGAAGTCGATACTAGTTAAGGTACTTATTACACAACTGGAAATAAGCTCCTACATTTATTTATGGAAGTGTCAGAACCACAAGAGATTCCTCATTCGCCATAGAGAATTCAACTAACTAAGTCCTCGAGGGACGAAAAACAGAAGGATGAGTGGACAAAAACAAAGGTTTATAAATACACATTTAATTATACTCTATTTTTGTCATGTCTCTCAGAAAAGTATTATGAATATATATGATTTTGTGAAGTGGAATTAACTTGGAGTTCACACCTCATCAACTACATCATATGATTTAAAGCATGTTTCAATAAATTTTTAACGTTCTAATTCTAACATGAGAAAATAAGGTTTTGATCATTTATTTTAGGGTTGTGGCGTTAATGAGGTAGATTTTGTTTTCCTGTAGACACTAATGGACAGTACTAACATGATATATATTGGGGCAATGTAACACCAGATATCGAATAGAGGATATATCTATTTTTAGGATGTCTTTAAAGGAAAGGATTCTGGTCCTTTTTTATTTTATTTTTATTTTTATTTTTTATTTTTATAAAAATAGAGATTAGTTCTTGGACTTACACCACATCAAACTTTAACGATCCGAACAATCTATTTTTCAAGTTGCACCTCATACATCATTCTTACAAAATTGTTGCCAAATCGGGAAATATTTAAAGCATTTAATTGAGTTCAAAGAAATTGACAAACATTTTGTTCTCTAAGAAACAATAAAATTTCAACATGATAATTAAATAGACAAATAATTTTGGATTAAATGCAATTTTTATAAGATGACTTATGAATCAAGACTTA